TCAACCCACCGCGTCGCTTCACCTTGGCCGCAATGCGTGCTTGACTCCGCCTAGAATACGCCTGGGAACCAACTATACTTCGTAAGGGTCGGCTGATTGAGGGTGCGTGGTGGTTGCGTTGCGGCGTCGCAGCCAAATAATATTCTGCCTGGGATTCGGTGCTCATCTGGCATAACCCTAAGGAAGAAAGCAGGTTTACGAAGGAAAAATCGCGGAATGGCTGGGATAAAGCCATACGCAAATCGGTATTCATTAGGGGAGCCGCAACGCAAGCGCTGCGCACCTCGCCCAGCCAATCCTTATTGCACTTATAAACGTTTCAAGGACGGCAATGAATCGGTACTCATAGAGAAAGAGATACCCTTTGGGCTAAGTCGCTATAGAGAACATTTGTGAGGAGTTTGATCCCAGCTGATTTTCCAATTTCTTCTTCGCTATAGCACATAGCACATAATAGACTATAACGTGATTCTGGCTGAAGAAGTGTTAATGCGGGCTACTATTCCAGCCCAAACCCTTTGTAATTTCAACTAGCCGAGTTTATTCTGAGCCAAGCATTGAAGTAGTTTCAATGACCAAAGATCTTCTTCAATATAAAAAAAATGATTTTGTGTAGAGAAAGTCAGCTAGTACTACTGTACTTTTAGCAGCTGACCAAAAATTCTTAACTCCTTTTATTCAAAGAATTTTTTTTTCAGGCACTGAACAGAGTGTTCAGTCGTGCTGTTCATCGTGTTCTCTCGAGGATATCCAAAATTGCTATTGAGGATTTGGACAATAATAATGTTCGGGTAACTTTTGCGTCATCTGGTTATGATTTTTCAATTGATTAATTATCTTCATTCATAATATTTTGTGCTTTTCATATTACTTAATTTCATTCACATCACGTTGATCTCATTTTGTTTTATAGAAGTTGAAATCGGGAATTTGTTCTTTTCGCTGTTCTAGTATTACATCGCTACTAACCGTGATCGCATTTTGGTTATTTTTATTCTTTTGAAGAAAGGGAAAAATGCTTTATTTTGTTTCAAGTGGTTGTTAACTTGTTATTACGCTCAGTCAAGGTCATTTAGCTTAGCGTTTTTGCCCTTGCGCGTAACTTGCATTAATCGGTGATTAATAGAGGATTGGAACTGTCAAAAGTTTTGGTTTTCGCTTCGTTGAAACTGGTTTCAATGAAGCAAATTGGACTTGTTTGTTGAGACATCCTAAAATCATAACTATCGATTTTAGGTAATCCTCACTTGCGAGTCGAGCGCGGATCGTTGCCATCCTTTGTACAGTGGCATTTCG